TGTCCTCCCCCCCCTCCCCACACACTGCCACCACCGACGCAGCCAATGTGGAATTGGCACCCGCTTCACGTGGCCAGCGGCCAACGTGACCGATAACGCATCCAACAACGCCGGATATGCCCTATATGCTTAATCCTCGGGGGAACTCACTTCTAGGAGGCATCCAATTTTGGGGGACGCCTCGTTCTGTGCCAAGCAGAGGAGTGTGTGGCAGTGACACAGGCTCCGTAATTAAACCTTCTCAGCGACACAGGCCGAGTCTCAGTGCCACGCAGATCCGCAGTGTCGTTTGTGCAGCGAGCGCTGACTAGCCGACACCGGTATCACCACCCACGCCAGTGTGGTGGCTAATTGGCGCCGATTGTAACCCTCTGAGTGCCACAATGGCCTTTGTAGACGCCACAATCGACCACTGCCAGCCACCAGCGGTCTCATAAGGGTGATTTTGGGGCACCCGTCGCCAGCGGTCACCGTCAAACGCCACTGCCTCCGCCACAGATTTCTCCTGCGCCCTATCATGGGTGGCACACCACCGATACGGGACGATGGGCCCCCGATTGTCATCAAGCACGCAGGGTTAAACGCTGTCCTTCTGGCGACGGTGAAATTGGTCCGGGTCGTGCCGTTCGTCGCCAAAGTCGCCCGCCATGGTGGCGGTGTCGGGTGTGACGACAAGTGACGGCAGGGGGCGCTCCCCGACACGGACCCCGACACTTTGGCGTGAGTGAAACGATGTTTGTGTTTTAGCAGATCCTTTTGGGAGATGCCCGACAGACACTGGAACAGGGGTAGGAAGACAAGCCACCGTCAAACTGCTGCACTATGTGGGGACAGGTATACGGTTACTCATTGTGTGGTTACGATAACGGATGTAAAAAACCGTGATGACCCCCCACATCTGCGTATTTGAACGATACCTTCCGATCCCCCTTTATCGATACCGCACTCATCATCGTCGTATCTGAAACGTTATCTGAAGTGAAACCGTAGCTGAAACAATAACATAATGACGACAAGGTATATATATTGGTATCCCCCTCAAGACACTAGCCAAATCTCTACTCTACCTCCGACTACACTCTCAGCTTTGCGAGCTTTCTTGACCCCTGATCTCGTGTCTCTACCCCCCTGTGAACCCTCCTCGTCTCCACTTTCTCTGTGTCTACTCCCCTCATTTATCCACCGGTCTCACTTCCTCTCGTCTCCACCTCCTTTTTCTATCTTGCCTCTATGCTCTCGTCTATCGCTGTCACCCTTGATGGTAGCGCTGCCAATCGCTGCTAAACTTATCGCAACGGTTTCCTCCTGCACACAGTCGCAACGGATACCAGCCGCAAATCGCGATCGTCTCCCCATCCGTGACCGTCCGCAACAACGTACCACTGTTGAGTTGTCCTCATTTTTCCCGGTCGTGCCTCTGATGCTTGGACGCTTGTTCAAGCTGAGCACCGACACCATCGCCCCGCCGCCGCTGGTGGCGCTGCTGCTGCTCACGCTGCTGCTCGCCACCCACGACGACTGCCACACCCGCGGCCTTCTCTACGGTACCCCCAACTGTAACCCGTTGAAACCTTATCATTTGGACGAAGGTGGGTTCAGAGTGGTGGTGGCCCAGGACTCCGGCTCGATCCACTACAAAGATGTCCTTTTTGACTCGCTGCGCCGAGCGCCAGGGCAAATGCTGCTGGCACCAACCACCCTTTCCACCCTTTCCCCGCTGGGTCCCACCACCCTCCCCAGTCTCCACCTGCAGGCCCAGCTCTGTAAGTTCATGTTTGGCTCGTTCCCGTCGCTGGAAACCCAGACCACCACCAAGATTCACATGCTTCCCCCTTTACTGCTGGTGCACGGGGCCATGGTGCTTATCCTGAGGGTATTTCTGCTCGACGATGATAACTCGCCTACCACTACTGCGGATGCCGACGACGACGACGACTGGGTGGTGGCGCCGCCGATGCCCGGTCCCACGTCGCTGGCGCCGCCAGTAGCACTGCGACTTGCCCTCGGGCTTGTAATCCCGATGGAAGTGCTGACGGATATTACTGATGTCATATTTGCCAACTGGGGGGTCGTCCACCACCACCTTAATCAGTTTCAGGCAATGGTGATGGCGCGGACGGCAGCCATCCACCCGCTTCCGCAAACCACGCGTCTACGCCTCGCCGACTACTGTTTCCAAAACGACTCTGACTTCTTTGTGCTTGTCAAACGGTTTATTCGTCTGATGGACTACGTGGTCAACACTCCACGAGTGGTGGGACTTCCACAAGAGGTGGGACCGCGCCACCATATCTTCAAACAGTGGGTGCTGGAAGTGGTCAACTGGATCGAGTTCAAGGACGGCAAGCCCGATTTCTTAGCCCGATTATTTGCCACCGTCAACCAGTACTTCCCCCGTCGCGCATCCCCTAACGACGAAAAGACTCGAGTGGTGGTGGTGCTGAATAACCAGTTGGTGGCGAAAAAGCTCATTTTCATCGTCAACCTCGTCATGACCGGCTTGGGACTGACCCAGGTCACCATCGCCCTGCCGGCAGTGGCGATCGCCGTCGACGACCTGGCGGTAGACGACGACACGCTCGATACCCTTGATGACGTTCACCTGATGCTGCTGACGCTGCTGTGCGTGACGCCGCTGCAAAAAGGGTGGGCCATCCCCGTGGCGGCAGCTCTGACGGCGGCGACGCTGACCCCCATCGTGGTGCCTCACCGGCTGCCGCAACTGCTGCGGCTGGTCGCCTATCTCTCGTCGTCGTTGACGCTGTCATTGTCGCTGGTGGCCAGTTCATGGGGCAAACGCGCTCCCTTGATGGCTCCCTCGTCGTTTGACGATTATACCCCGCACCCGCTAACTAAACGCAACCTGTTCTACAGCCACAAGACGCCGCTGCCGGCGCTCGAACACGACGAATACCCTTGGACCGCTCCGCAGTTGTCGCTGGGAGAGTTCTCGCCTAAGCTCACACGGTCGCAATCGATGCTGGAGCTTGTGGGGCTGCCGACGGCGCTGCTTGAGCTCAAACGCACCAAGCTGACGATGTACTTCCCCAAGATCCGCGACGAGCTGGTGAAAAACGTCGTCGAGTACAATCACCAGGTGGTCCACCGCAAGTGCGACATCATCGCCGATCTGGCAGTATCGTGGACCAAACGTGACAATACCCTCAAACTCGACGACCATGACGACGCCAAAACCGATGACGATGACCACACCAGTCTCGGTAGCCACACCATCGGCCACAAGGCGCTCCCGCCCCACGTGTCCTACTGCGACGAGTTCCGCCCCGAGTTCGACCTCCAGGCGTGCCCCGTACTGGTTAAACTCGAGCACGCGTTGTCTACAGCGATGCGCAACGACATCAATAGAGGGTATCGCGTACTGCGCACGGTGTTAGTGCTGCTCCGTGCCCGCGAAGTGAAGGTGGTCGAGTGGCACTGTCATGACCAAGGGTGGCGGAAACGTAGCCGCAGCCCCGACGAGCGCGATACCGTGGCCAAGCTCGCCGAGATCCACGCCATGTACAAGCGCCAGGAAGTCGATCGCGACCGGCTTTACGCGCTTGTGGAACAACTACTTGTGTGAACGCCGCCTACTAGCATAACCTTAATCAGAACGAAACTTTCGTATTTGTTCCTGCCCTTCTTCTCCAGCAAATGCTTCTTTAAATTTAGGGATGCTATTGTGTCTGATGCCACTCTAACCTTATGGGTGTCAGTGTCTTTGCCCCAGTTATTGCCTCTCTAACCCCAGCGGGGCTGGTCACCCGATGACGTCATTTTCGTCATCCTACAATGGGGTGAGAATTATCCCCCCCTATACCGTACACCACCACCACCACCACCACCATTACCACAAATGGGCACCCCAAACAGATCTCCCCCACCTTGAAACTGCCGCCTGCCCCTTTTTAGTCCTACTTACAACGGGCAGGGCGTTAGCCATTGTGTGCCAGTGACACCGCCAGTACCGACTTCGATTGATGCACGAACGACACCGGGTTTATGTAGCCAGTACCCCTCCCTAATTGCGCTCCGAGAGTCTCTTCATCTCCGTCAGACGCTTCACCCCCTTCAAGCATGGTGAATAATTTGTTAGACATACTGATTATTTGCCCACGGGGGCAGTGGGAGCCCGTTGGCGGGCGGAAACGCTGCCAACCCCTCGGTGAATGTGAATTCCCATTGCAGTGACCCGTGGCTACTGTCGTTTACAGCAAATCCCGCGCAATGTCGCTGGCGAAGCAACCCGACGCACGGCGAGCACACCGCTTGCCCAAGCCAATTTATCTGAGAAAACGCGGATTGTCGCAGCACCCTGTCAAAACATGCGCGGGGAGCGCTTTCGAGGAGTTAGCGTGCGCCCACCAATTTCTGGTCGCCATTACATCATAGGGGGCCAGCCTCTGTCGGGTGGGCTAATTAGATGCCCTTTGCAATAATCAGAGAGATTGAGAGACAAAGCGTTTGGAAACGGGTGCGGCCCGATTATTTTCGGCGATGATAGCCGGCGGAGGT